TGATCCTCTCTCTCTTTGTTTTTGTTTTTTTTTTTTTTTTTTTTTTTTTTTTTTTTTTTCAACTTACTCACCAAAACGACGTCGTTTTGGTGAGTTTTATTTTCAGCCATTGGATCTTCTACTTTAGGAGATCAATGTAGGGTTTCTACTCTAGAGGATCCTAACGCGAGCTGTTGTGCCTACTAAAAAATGTTAATGTTTTTGTTGTTGTTGTTGTTGTTTGTTTGTTTTGTTTTATTTATTTATTTTTTATAATTATTATGTAAAAAAATGATTAGCTACATTCATGAAATATTTGTCTTTATATATATCACAAGTTTTTATTTATTTGCTTATTAGAAAGTACGAGTTTTAATATATTGCACATTTGATATATAATAAGTAAATTATAGTACAAAATTATCTGTTAAAAGAAAATAAAAAAAAAATAACTTAGAAACGGTCCGTGAAGAAGATCCAAGCCATTTATGATGCCACTATGATCATTTATAAAAATAAAAATAAAAATGAAATTGACTTAAAAAATTTCAATTATCTTAGCAAGCTTTGTTATCAGTTCAAAAAACAAAACTTGACAAATTCAATCAAAAGTAAATAAGAGAGAAGTTGCTCCCTGTGTTTATGGGCGATAAAGACTAACGACAAATTTGTGTATCTATTTCCTAAAAACAACACTTGCGTAAAAAAAAATTCTCTTATCCACCTATATACAAAGTTTACATATTTACCCTTTATTTATTGAATAGCTCTTTGAATATAAATTATATATTTGTCCTTTATTTTTAACTTTTTCGCATTTTGTATTGACACAATCACCTCTATTCTAGATCAATCTGTTCAAATTGTGAAATTAAATAAATAGATTTATGAAGAAATCAAATTATATACCAAGAATATATGCTGATAATTACAATTAAATTTCAACAGAAATATACAAAACAATAAAAGGGTAAAGAGATGAAACCGAAGCTTGTACGGAAGCAGTTTCCTTAAAACAGATTTCACTGCCTCACGGGTTGAGTGCTTGAGGAATCCCAGCGCCTGTCTCCCATGATACGACGGTCAAAATCAGCTACGGCAGAAGCACTTTCTGTCTAGCTTAGCGAACAAGAACAGTGGCAGCACTCTCTCAATGTAGGAACTTTCTGGCAAACTGACTTGTAAAATGGAAGCAAAAAATTTCTATATTGAAACTTGATAGGAGGGTCTCAATTTATACATGTAAAGGGGAGAGAAGAAGAGCCTCCAGCCTTTAAGGCTGGTCATTAAAACACCAAGCATCCATAGCCCCTTTCTAAAAATATGAAAGTTTGGATGCCCAAAAGATTCACACCCTTTAGTCAAGAAAAAGGATTTAAATACTCTTTAAAATCCTATTCATGAATCTAACATCATGAGGCAATTTCTTGGCAATTTCTTATTCAAAATCCAATGATTTTTTGCTCACTTGGACCTAACACAATAAAAGGTTGGAACTCACTTTAATATTTGATTAAAGTTACCATACTTTAATATTAAATTAAAGTCAGCAAAAATCATTTTTCCCAACACAATCAATATTAAAAATTCAAAGCAAATGACACAATAGCAGCAATTGTCCAATGGGATGTGTCAAACTTTTATAACTTTAGATATTGGGGGATTTGGTGATAGTCCCCTCACTATCTAATTTGTCTTTCAAAAGGACAAGAATTATATAAGTACTTTCAAAACTCCCTAATATTTTAAAACTTGTTTCTTTTACTATATTACCCTCATATCTATCAGCTCTCTTATTAAATCATTTTCACTATATATTTGGGGGATTTGGTGATAGTCCCCTCACTATCTAATTTGTCTTTCAAAAGGACAAGAATTATATAAGTACTTTCAAAACCCCCTAATATTTTAAAACTTGTTTCTTTTACTATATTACCCTCATATCTATCAGCTCTCCTATTAAGTCATCTTCACTATATATTTCAAAGTAAAATTTTACTCTGTATAAAAGTAAAATTTTACTCTGAAAAACTAGTAAAATGTTAGACTCTACACAAAACTAAAATTTTACTCTGTATAAAAGTAAAATTTTACTTTGAAAAATGAGTAAAATGTTAGACTCTACACAAAAGTAAAATTTTACTCTGTATAAAAGTAAAATTTTACTCTAGTTCTGTCAAATGAAAAAAACAGAGCAATAGAACCAGAGTAAAATTTTACTATTTTACTTTGGTTCTATCAAATGAAATTTGATATTTACTCTGAAAAATCGATGAAACTTTGAGCTTTGAGCTTTGAATCAGGCCTATAATCCTTGAATTAATCGATGTTTACTTTGAAAAACATTGAATCATGCCTGTAATTCTTGAATCAGGAATCATGCCTATAATCCTTGAATCAGGCCTATAATCTGAAAATTTTAGAGAAATCTCAATTTTCATACCCCGGTTCTTCAGATTTTTCAGATTTTTCAGATTTTTAAAACTTTGAGCTTTCAAAAGTCTATATATTCGAATTCAAATCTCAAAACACACAAACACACACATATATATATATATTACAGATCAGAATATGTACATATATATATATTCGAATGCAAATCTCAAAACACATATATATTCGAATTCAAATCGGAATATGTACATATATATATATTCGAATTCAAATCTCAAAACACATATATATTCGAATTCAAATCTCAAAACACACAAACACACACACACACACACATATATATATATATATCAGCGCGATTTGCAAGTTCTCCATAGCTCCGGCCATGGAGGAAGCTAGGATTAGAAGAGAGAGACGAGATAGAAGATGAACAGTTGAAGGAGAGTTGAAGGAGGAGAGTTGAGAAGATGCAAAGAGAGATCGTCGGAGCTTAGGAATGACACAGCTCCAGCCATGGAGAAAGCTAGGGTTAGAAATGAGAGACGAGAGAGAAGATAAATTTTGTATCTGGATTGTGTATATGTGAGGGTATAATAGTCTGATAAAATATTTAAATAATAAATTTTGTCCTTTATGTAAGATTTTGTAATTATGAGGGGGTTTAGAAAGTATAATTTTTTTCCTAGTCCTTCTAACAATAAAAGGAAGGTAAAGGGGGTTTATAGCCAAGTATAGTAATATTACCAATTAATTAAAAAAAATTATATATATATATAGGGACTATTTGGGAACATGAGTTAAAAGTCAAAAATCAACTTTTAACCCATTTTTAATCATATCACCTCTAATATAAAATAGTAAAAAAAAATTTAAAAAAAAAAATCAAAAAATTAATTTTTAATCAACTTTCTAAAACATCTATATTGGCATGTATGATTTACTTTACAAATACTTTCCACTCACATGAAAAGTGAGGCCTACACTCTGTAATAATAAGGTGAGTATAAGTGAAAGTAGTTTAGTGTTGTGACTTTGTTAATGAGACAATAATTATCTATATAATTTTATTTATAATTTTTTATTGATTAATGACAGTATAGTGGTTGCCAACGCAATTTCGATTGCGTTTGGTAGAGTTTTACAAATATGATTTAAGAGTATGAGCTATATTTTGAGTTTGTGAGTTTTGAAATTATAATTTGAGTGTGGAAAATTTGTTTGGTAAAAGAGTTTTGAATTAAGTGAAAATTTTTTAATGTGACATATGATATTTATACAAAAACTTACAACTCATAACCAAACATATAACTCAAAATTCTATTAAAGTACATAAAAAAATTTAAAAATTCGAAAAATATTTTTTTTGAATATATAAAAATTAACATATGTCAATTGCAAAAAAAAAAATTGTATTGTTCCGGTCAACCGGCCGGACGACCGGTGGGATGTCTGATGGGCCGACCGATTATGCCAAATTTGAAAAACGCGCCCCACACAAAGTTTTATGGAAAGTTGTGGAAATGTGATTTGAGAATTTATTCCAAATATCATATTGGAATATGGGTGCAGAATCATTATTTGGAAACACAACCAAACACAGCCGCTTTTCGTATCCGCTATTCTTAGGACATTGATTGAAATCAAAGCACAGTATATGTGTGATAGAAAATGTTATAAGTCTTAATTTTTTTTTTAAAGTAAATGATTAAATATTTCATATAAATGTAAAATTTACATTTATGTAAAATATTTAATTTGCTTAAAATATTTAATCATAATTTCAAAATACAACCAAACGCTACTTAAAATATAAATCGTTTTTAAAATTTTAAAAATTATAAATATTTAATTGTCATAATTTTTTATTTGACGTAATTAATAGAAAAAATAAAATTCAACAATATTTCTAATGTCATTACAAATTAATAATTAATCAATAAAAGTTGTCATTTATTATGTAACTTAAAAATGGAGTTAAATTCAAATCATTAAAAATATTCATACAATTTTTATTATATATATTTTTATATAAAATGTATAAATATTTTAATTTTTTTAGAATAAAGTTATATGCACTAATTGGTATACTAATTAAAGGGCAATGCTGGGGACCCCCAGTGGGGGGCGACCCCTAGCACCCCCAGTGACAGTTGGCAACTGTCCACTGGCTCAAAAAAAAAAAAAAAAAAAAAAAAAAAAAAAAAATTTTTCAAAAAAAAAAAAAAAAAAAAAAACAAATTTTCAGCCAATTAGAGATGACCCCAGCACCCCGGGTCCAACTCAATGGCACCGTTTGGGAAGTAAGTTTATGGATTTTTTTGGCTATTTTAGTCACAAAAGACAAAATAGGCTATTTTAGCCATAACAAACAAAACATCACATCAAATTCATAATCATTACACTCTTCTCTCACAAAAAAAAATAAAAAAGTCAAAAAGTCAAAAAAACATTCCCAAACCAAACTTTTTAACCCAGATTAAAATAGCTAAAAAAATCAAAAAGTAAAAAAACCAACCCACTTTCCAAACGGAGGCTTTATATTTTAAACAAACTCAGACACGAGCAGGAATCTGGTGGGCCCACCTCCACCTGATACTTACGTGTACCGGTGCTATGGTCTCCATCTGCTGTCATTCCCCTCGCTCGTTCGTTCGGATTCCAATTCACGTTTCTTGTTCTTGTTCTTGTTCTTCTTCTCTCTCTCTCCCTCTCTCCCCTTGTAATCTCTCTCATGAATTTGCTTTCAGGTACTGACAGCTTCACCTGAACTCTGAACGATCTACCAATTCGTCGAAATTTCAGTTCCTTCACTGACCTCGTTCTTTCTTTCTACCACTAAGTTTTCTCTGGGTATGTTCACTTTCTTTTTTACTCCCTTGAATTTGATGATTTCTTGCTTAAATCTGTTTGACTGCTCAGAAAATTGAGTTAAAGAATGAGAAAATTAAAAAGAAAGCATGGGTTTTTGTTACTTTTTTGTGCTTTTGCAGACACTTGTTCGAACTGATATGAAATTATGAATTTTTATTTTTATTTTTTTTTGTAATTGGGATTTTAACTGTGAATACTGTTTTCCATTTGATTGCAAATTTAGGGTTCCAATATTTTAAGAACCAAAGTCTAATTACTGACAGAGTGGAAGAAAGTAAAGAAAGAGGAAACTTTTATTATCATGAGCTGGTAGATTGATTGGCTTGCCTGAAATTTTAATTTACTTTGAAGTTGTAAAGAAATAATCACACCATCAATTATGAATTGGATGCTTGTGTTTGTTTGTGTGTGTTTGTGTGGAAGAGAACCTTTTAGTTTTTGTCAAATAGCGAATTGGGTAAGAGTGAATTATATGAAACTTTTTAAATTTAATTTAATTTAATTTTTTATTCTCTGGGTATCCTTGAAGAAATCAGCAATCACCATATATATGTATATATATTGTTACTTGTCAATTACCCATCAGTATCTTGCCTTCTTTTACAAAAGTTTTGCCTTTTTCATGTCTCCCCTTTGAATCTGTTTCATTGAAAATTTATCTTTCTCTAGTTTCTTATGGGGAGACTGGTGGCAACCATGTACATTGAGTCAATTTATATTATATTTCAGCCAAGTTGTGAGCCTTAGTTTAACTTTGGCATTGCTTGATTAGTTGTGGTCTTTTTGCAATCTTCTCTTGCATTACTGGCTTTCATTCTTTTGCTAGAGCTTTCCCCTTTTCATTTCCCCCTCTTCAAATCAGTTCTATTGGAAAAGAGCTGATGGTGGTTATGTTTATCTAACTTCTTATTGGGAGACCATCTATATTGTGTCAGTTTAGGGTATATTTCAGCCAAGTTGTGATAGTTTAACATTGGTGTCGCTCATCTTATTGGGAGACCATCTATATATATTTTGAATTCTCCTTTCTTCTTGTTGATTTCATTAGTGAGTTCAATTTCAGTGTTCAGCTTTTTTGAGTTTGTATAGTTTTGGACATAGGTTATGCATCTTCTGGCATGCTTCTAATATACATATACTCTTTACTTATCAAAATAAAATAAAATAAAATAAAATTCATCCAAACAGAGAAGGAAGAACTTCATTATTTGCAACAGGTTACTATTTTAATCCTCAATCATTTGAAACAAGCGTTTTTATTTTAACGTAATTTCTTATACATGGTATTTTGTGGGTATGGAATGCTTACTCATGGTTACTATTATCTCAGGAGGAAGAATGGCTGGAAAAGTTATTGGCAAACGACAGATGGCTTCCTTTGATTTTGAGCTTATTGAAGGTGATGTTGGTCAAATAAGGACTGTTGAAGCATCACCAAACCAGATTAGTCCATGGATTGACCCTGCAACAATAAAACTGAGACACAGAATTGGGAGGGGTCCTTTTGGTGATCTATGGCTAGCAACTCATCATCAAGCAACTGAAGATTATGACGAGTATCATGAAGTGGCTATCAAGATGTTGCATCCAATTAAGGAAGATAATGTTAAGGTTGTATTAGATAAGTTCAATGATTTGTTTTCTAAATGTCAAGGCTTAAAGGGTGTTTGTTGGTTGCATGGCATTTCGATTATTAGTGGAAAGGTAAGTCTTTTATCTGAATTTGTTTATAATTTTGATATATTTCCACCCTTTTTGCTAAACGTTGTTTGTCCTTCCAGATATGTATTGTCATGAAATACTATGAGGGATCAGTTGGTGACAAAATGGGTAGCCTTAAAGGGGGAAAACTCTCATTGCATAATATTTTGAGGTGATGTTTACTTCATGCGGACATGAACATATGCTTTTATGGTTTTCACCCTTAGTGCCTAATATGGTGAAGTGCCTAATATGCTTTCATGGTGTTTTTAACAGGTATGGGATGGATTTGGCTCAGGGAATTATGGAACTGCATTCAAAAGAGATTTTAGTTCTTAACCTCAAACCTTTTAATTTCCTTTTGAATGAAAATGAGGGGGCAGTTCTTGGAGATTTAGGGATTCCTTATGTGTTGCTCGGAATTCCATTGCTAAGTTCAGATATGGCTCGAAGACTTGGAACCCCAAACTACATGGCTCCAGAGCAATGGCAACCAGAAGTAAGAGGTCCAATATCCTTTGAAACTGATTCATGGGGGTTTGGTTGCAGCATTGTGGAGATGTTCACTGGAATTCAGCCTTGGCGTGGAAAGTCTGTGGATGAATTATATAACTTAGTTGTTAAAAAACAAGAGAAACCACAAATTCCCAGTGGCCTTCCTCCTGCTGTTGAGAATGTCATAATTGGGTGTTTTGAGTATGACCTCCGAAGTCGTCCTGTGATGGCAGACATCCTACATGCTTTTAAAAGGTATCTTTTTTGTTTACTGAATATGAAAGAAAATAAAACCTCAACAGTTGATTATTGGATGAGTTATTCTATGGATATATGATATATATTGACTCAAGAAAAAGCAAATGATGAGGCCCTACAGGTATGATGTGGAGGGTTTATTGAAAAGAAGAGGAGTGAGTTTTCATATTTATATGGTTATGGATGAACTTATTGTGGATATAAAAGAGAACAACCCAATTATCTGTTGTTTGTTGATTAGTTTGTATTCATGAAACTATGGTAGGGTTTTTATCTGAAGTGAAAAGTATGAAAAGATACTACTCAGTCTGGTGGTTATGAGTTAAGTTGGACTTAACAAGATGTATGATATAACTTTAGTAAATTCAAAATAGAAATTAGGATGGTGAACACGTTTGTTGTTGGTGGTCAATTGTTCACAAGGCAGGCAATTATAAGAAGAAGTTATCTATAAACCTAAACTAGGATGAGTGGTGAGAGGGTAATTTTGGTGAAAATTGGGCCGAGCTATGAGATGGGCATTATGGCCCAAAGTACGAAGGGGTAGGTAAAAAGGCCGTAAAATTACTCCGGCCCAAGAGAGGTAAAAGATTACTCCGGCCCGAGAGGAATGTAAAGTTACTCCGGTCCGGAAGCGACTTGGAGTTAGGCCGGTCTCAGAATTAGTCCGGTCATGGCGTATTGTGGTTAGAACGGTCAGAACCTTGCTGCTCGGTAGCTTGGTCTAAACATACCATGGTTTGTACATGAGAGAACCGAGATAAAAAGGAGAAGGAAGAACCGAACTAAGGATAGTACGGCTTACTCTGTGGCTCAACATAGCCATGATTACTTCGGTCATGTGGGAATCCGGCCATGGTAATAACCATCTCACTTGGTTTAAGCAGTGAGGGGGGTGTTGGAGGATAAGGATTATCCTTCAGGAGGTTAAATCCTAGGAGGACTCTGCATGGAGGAATAGAAGTCCTACTAGGATTGTGCCACACGAAACCTATAAAAGCTCACAAACATCACCTTTGGAGAGGTAACACACAATTTTGCTTTCTGAATACACAGAGTTTTGTCTATTTGTCAAGCTTACTGTCTTAGGCATCGGAGAGGTTTCCGACGCACACCGGCCGGCTAGCTCACGTTTGTGTTTTCAGGTGATAAAGCGATGACGTACGGAGGAGAGTGGACTTGGTCAACAGGATTATACGAGAAGGTTTATTTCTTTCCCGTACAATTGGCGCCGTCTGTGGGAATTACAGATAGAACAAAAGCTCTTGACTAAAGCTTCTCCTCTTTAAAAACAATGGCGCACATTGAAGAATTGCCACAGTCCGCCATCGACGGGCAAACTCCAAATGGGGGTGCAAGGCATGAGGGATTACCTTCTATCCCTCCCATGGCGGACTTAGAGTCCCAACAACATAACACCAGGAGGGATACTAGGGGAAGACGGACTCACAGCCCCCGTCACTCTCGTTCACAAAGTTCTGACAGGCAAAGGCGGAGGATTGATCCTCAAATTCTGGAGGACCGCGTGAAGGAGCAAGACGAATTGATAAGGAAGATGGCGGCGGACATGGAGGCCTTGAAGCGCCAGATGAAGAAAAAAGAAGTGGCGACAGGAGAGGGGCGCAAAAACAACACGCCCCCTCGCCACTCAAAAAATCGTAGTAGGAATACCACACCCTCGCAAGGAGGGAGTAGAAGCCTCAGGACAGGCGATACTCAATCCAAATCTTCCAGAACTCGTCACTCTAGGTCTGAGAGGACGAGATCTGAAAGATCATACACTAAAGGAAGCACGTATTGGCCCTCACATACGCACCAAACCAGATCTAAACAGACGGAGTTACCCAGGTCATCCGACTTACGAACCGTGCTCGAAGAAAAAGCACGATGCAAGGAGGATGCCAGGGCACGGGATCCACACAGAGTTTCTGCCTTACAGCGGTTGGCTCCTCAGACGCATGGAAGCGTCGAGGTTGGAATGCCAATACCGCGCCCTGCCTACGAACCAACGGACAAAGCATTAGCAAGGCTGCAGACTTCGTCGTTTGTTCCGGCGATTAAAAACGCGCCCCTACCATCAGGCTTCCTTCAACCAAAATTCGCTACATATGAAGGGAAGACGGATCCCTACTCACATTTGAGCCACTTTCGCCAGGTCATGGTTGTATACAGGCGAAACGAGGCCTTAATGTGCATACTCTTCCCATCAAGCCTTGGCGACCTGGGCTTGACTTGGTTCGAGAAACTTCCAGAAGGCAGCATAGCCTCCTGGGCACAATTGGC